AAGGAAAAGGTGGGCGGTGGAAAATGTGATGATGGGTTAGGATGGAGAATAGTTTAGAATGAAAAAAGGTATATAATAATAATAAAAAAAGTGAAATGGGTGGCCCGAGGAGGGTGCAATGCATTTGCTTAGTTAGTTGTTTATTTTATTTGTTTGGGGGTAGAGTGAAGCACATGGGGGTGAGTGATGGTAAAGGAAGTAAAAGAAAAAAATAAAGAAATAAGAAAAGAAAAGTAAAAGGGAGTTGGTGTAATTTGTGGCTGATGGGGGCAATGAAGGCTAACTCACACCCAGCAGACAGAAGCACATGCATACACAGTACACATGCACCGAGACCACTCTCTCTCTTGTATTTCTTTGAGAAAGAGATAAAGAGTGTGGAAAGAAAGATAAAAAAGGGGAGCATCTTTGCTGGCCTACCCAAAGAAAGAGATAAAGCTGAGATGGCTCTATACTGCAGGAGGTAAGGAGAGGAAACTAGATTCAGGAGCATTAGGGAGCGAGAGATCACGCAGAGCATCGGAACCAAACTTGTCTACGGTGAGATTTTCCAGAAACCCAACCTTCTCGAACAACACCAAGCTATCAAGCACGCCGTTTCGGAGCTCTGCGATGGCGAGTCAGGTAAGAACATTGTTCGGATCATATTCAAAACGGGTTGGCCCCAGAACGCGAAGAATCCGAGTTCCAGTTCATGCACGGGAAGCGCGCGATGCTCGTCTGCCGGGTCAGTGCGGGTCGAGTCGGGTGCGATCCGGAGTTCGTGGATAAGGTAGAGCCCGGGTTTGATTTGGTTGTCGGTAGGGGGTTAGGAGGGGCCATCTGTGGTTGGACGAAGAAGATGAGCTGTGGATAAGGAAGTGCTTTCCAACTTTGCTCTCTGCCCCCCACAAGAGAGAGACAGAACCTGTATGTTTCCATGTGTGCTGCGTATGGTGTCCTCTGTGTGTGTGTTGTATTGAAAACTCCAGCGGGCAGCGGAGTGAAGGTGTGTGTAGAGGTCCGGCGGGCGGCCAAGGCGAGACTGCCGCCCGCCGGTGAAACAGAATGACTAGGTTGTTAACCTTGCTCTGATACCATGTAAGAAAAATTGATGTATATTATTGATTGATCCTTTAATACAAGATTGATGTATTACAATTCCTATACAATCTATATATAGAAGAAAATGTGGTAGTAGGTGTAGTGGAGGTGATAGTGGGTTAGGTGAAGTGGAGTGTGTGGTGAAGTGGAGGTAGGTGAAGTGGAGTGTGTAGTGGAGTAGGTGAAGGTAAAGATGAAAAATTCTAACAATATATATATAATTTTTCCTTTTATTTGTTTCTATCACATCTGTAAAATGTCATGGTCTGTGTTATAAATTGTGTCAAAACTCTTTTAATGTACCACATTAAACCATCTTATCTTATCTAGGGCCTTGTGTGCTATCTATGAATTTCTCTAGAAACATATGTGGACCTATCTATTTTCCAACTAGGTTTAGATTCTCTTATCACTAACAAAAAGAAAAGAAAACGAGATTCTTTTGTCACTGCTTAGCATGGTTGATGATTATATTGGCACTGGCAGTATGTTATCAGAGAGAGAGAGAGAGAGAGAGAGAGAACATGCATTGCTTGGTCGTCCCTTGCGTAAAGATAGGCTGAGCAGTTATCATGTTACATGAAAGTATTCTTGATCAGAACTACTGTTGCTTGGTTGAGATGATGTCATATCGGAAGGCATGTGAGTATTTATGCGTCGTAAAATTTTTGAGTAGCTAAAAATGGGATAAGGTACTACCAAAATTTGCTGATTTGGTCTTCATTATGCTGATGTACGGATTTTGCATGGTGTTAGCTGTTCTATATGCCAAACCGATATATCAATTCACTATCATGATATAATTACATGTTTGGATAATTGCGTGTACATGTGACGGTTCCTGCATATTGTGTTGCTTTAGTCGAGCTTTTTCATCTGTTGAAGAAAGAATTGTTGCATAGTTATGTATTGGAGTGAGAGCTTCACTAGAATTCATGAGGGTTAGCGATATTGATGAATGATCCATGCTAAAGGTCATATGACTGCAGTTAGGAAGATGTTATATTCAAACTGAGGGTTGCCTTGATTTATTTATATTGAAGGTGCTGATTTCAAATTGGTTGGCTTTTAAAAATGCAAATTTGGCAGTGGCATGTGTTGGTCAATTGGTGCTGTTTGTGCTATAGAGATGCGGAAATGGTTGATCATTTGCTTGTGCAGTGTCCCGTTGTGTCTCGGCTTTGGTGTACGATTGTTGCTCTTTTTGGTTTGGCTTGGGTGCAACCGGGTTTGGTGTTGGAGGTGTTGCTCAGTTGGGATGGGGCGAGGGTGGGTAAGAGGCGGCAGTAGGCTTGGTTACTTGCTTTCCATTGCTTATTGTGGTTAGTTTGGTTGGAGCGTAACAGGCGTACTTTTCAGAACACGTGTCATTCATTTCTTTGGTTAGAAAGTAGGCTTCATGGTTTTGCATAGTTAGGTTACGGGTTCGGTTGATCCTGATGTATTGACTTTTGTACATTTTGTGGAGGATTTGCTTAGATAAGTGAGATTATGCGGACTGTAAGAAATAATGTGTAGAGAAAGAGAGAGAATAAATTGTATGTATTATTATTGATTGATGTAATGTTATATCAATTACAATGATTCATGATTCCTATATATAGAAGAGGGTGAGTGTGTAGTAGGTAAGGAGTAGGTGAAGTGGAGGTGGTAGTGGTGTAGTGGGTTAGGCTTAGTGGAGTAGGTTTAAGTGGGTGAAGTAGGTGATAGGTTTAGTGGAGTAGGTGAGGTGGTAGTGGTGTAGTGGATTAGGTTTAGTGGAGTAGGTGAGGTGATAGTGGTGTAGTGGGTTAGGTTTAGTGGAGTAGGTGAGATGGTAGTGGTGTAGTGGGTTAGGTTTAGTGGAGTAGGTGAGATGGTAGTGGTGTAGTGGGTTAGGTTTAGTGGAGTAGGTGAGATGGTAGTGGTGTAGTGGGTTAGGTTTAGTGGAGTAGGTGAGATGGTAGTGGTGTAGTGGGTTAGGTTTAGTGGAGTAGGTGAGATGGTAGTGGTGTAGTGGGTTAGGTTTAGTGGAGTAGGTGAGATGGTAGTGGTGTAGTGGGTTAGGTTTAGTGGAGTAGGTGAGATGGTAGTGGTGTAGTGGGTTAGGTTTAGTGGAGTAGGTGAGATGGTAGTGGTGTAGTGGGTTAGGTTTAGTGGAGTAGGTGAGATGGTAGTGGTGTAGTGGGTTAGGTTTAGTGGAGTAGGTGAGATGGTAGTGGTGTAGTGGGTTAGGTTTAGTGGAGTAGGTGAGATGGTAGTGGTGTAGTGGGTTAGGTTTAGTGGAGTAGGTGAGATGGTAGTGGTGTAGTGGGTTAGGTTTAGTGGAGTAGGTGAGATGGTAGTGGTGTAGTGGGTTAGGTTTAGTGGAGTAGGTGAGATGGTAGTGGTGTAGTGGGTTAGGTTTAGTGGAGTAGGTGAGATGGTAGTGGTGTAGTGGGTTAGGTTTAGTGGAGTAGGTGAGATGGTAGTGGTGTAGTGGGTTAGGTTTAGTGGAGTAGGTGAGATGGTAGTGGTGTAGTGGGTTAGGTTTAGTGGAGTAGGTGAGATGGTAGTGGTGTAGTGGGTTAGGTTTAGTGGAGTAGGTGAGATGGTAGTGGTGTAGTGGGTTAGGTTTAGTGGAGTAGGTGAGATGGTAGTGGTGTAGTGGGTTAGGTTTAGTGGAGTAGGTGAGATGGTAGTGGTGTAGTGGGTTAGGTTTAGTGGAGTAGGTGAGATGGTAGTGGTGTAGTGGGTTAGGTTTAGTGGAGTAGGTGAGATGGTAGTGGTGTAGTGGGTTAGGTTTAGTGGAGTAGGTGAGATGGTAGTGGTGTAGTGGGTTAGGTTTAGTGGAGTAGGTGAGATGGTAGTGGTGTAGTGGGTTAGGTTTAGTGGAGTAGGTGAGATGGTAGTGGTGTAGTGGGTTAGGTTTAGTGGAGTAGGTGAGATGGTAGTGGTGTAGTGGGTTAGGTTTAGTGGAGTAGGTGAGATGGTAGTGGTGTAGTGGGTTAGGTTTAGTGGAGTAGGTGAGATGGTAGTGGTGTAGTGGGTTAGGTTTAGTGGAGTAGGTGAGATGGTAGTGGTGTAGTGGGTTAGGTTTAGAAGGAGCTGAAGCGGAAGGCCACCGTTATGTTCCGATTTGGAGGTCCGCCATATGCTGTAGTGGAGGAGCAGGGTGGAGTGATCGTGCCCAGTGGAGTGGGAAACACGGAGGCAACACCGTCAAGGGCCGCCCAGGACGGAGGCAAGAAGAAAAGACCGGCGGAATAGGCGAAAAAGTGAGATCGGTGGGTGGCCGTCTGCAGAAAAGAAAACAAATCTTGTGGTTGTTGTTGTTGTTTTTTTTTTTTTTTTTTTTTTTTTTTAAATATATATATATATTCTATATATTCTAGTGGGATGAATGATGAGTTGTATGAAACGATGGGAACAAGTCCATGTGGGTTAGGGAATGGCGATGATAATGTGTTGTGGGTGGTGGAAAAAGTAAAGTGAGAGAGAGACACACTGTAACATATTAACATAGTTTATCTTAGGTTTACCGGCACATTCCTTTTCTGAAGATATGCATTCCAGCTCAAACCACTTCAAATAATTCACAAATCTCATCATCACCTCACGTGATAAGAAGACAAATTTGCAGCTGTAACACTGCCCAACGTGGGTGAACAGTTGGTTGATAAAAGTCCTTTGGTGAAGTGATGGCGAATCATCCTCACTCTTGAGCCCCTCCATTACACCAACTTTGGTACCGTTTACCTTGGAAGGGGCTTGTGCATTGGCCTTAACCTGCAAACCCCCAGTGGCAGCAGATTTTGATTTAATCCCTCGTGCATCCACATTTGCTGGAGGTCCTCCAAGCTTGCTGGATGTCTTGGCACCAGAATCGGGTGGAGGAGATGCAACTGGAAAAAATGCAGAAGTAGCGGCGGTAGCAACCATTATGAAAAATCTATCACCAAGCTGAGAAGAATCTGGAAGAGCACGGTAGAAAACGTCAGAAATTGGATGTTTTGGTGGCAGATTCGAAGCTGTCTGAGTGCGGGAAAGCAGTTGAGAATTGCGTGATTAGTGAAGGTCGTTTGGTGGAGAACGGTGAATCAGAGACGACGTCTGCGAAACAGTGTGCATCTCCGACTTCAAATGTGACAAACGAGCCTGAGGTGGCTCAGAAATGCCCTAAGTTAGGCATGACTTCTGTGCGTGGAAGGAGGAGAGATATGGAAGACGCTGTGGCCATTCACCCCTTGCTTTGCCGCCGGAGTAGTCAGAATCCGGCGGATTTGCACTTTTTCGGCGTTTACGACGGCCACGGTTGCTCACATGTGGCGATGAAGTGCAAAGATCGATTGCACGAGATAGTGAGAGACGAACTCGAAAGCCACGAAGAAGATTCGTGGAAGAAAATGATGGAGCGAAGTTTCTCTTCTTGCAGAGTTACGGCTGTGGAGAGTGGAAGGTATGTGTAGAAAATTCCAGCGGGCAGCAAAGGCAAAGGTGTCGGCCGGCTGCCTGCCGGTGAGAAAGAAATACAGGCTTAAATCTTATCGCTCTGATACCATGTAAGAAATAATGTATAGAAAAAAAGAGATAATAAATTGTATGTATTATTATTGATTGATGTAATGTTATATCAATTACAATGATTCATGATTCCTATATATAGAAGAGGGTGAGTGTGTAATAGGTAAGGAGTAGGTGAAGTGGAGGTGGTAGTGGTGTAGTGGGTTAGGTTTAGTGGAGTAGGTGAGGTGGTAGTGGTGTAGTGGGTTAGGTTTAGTGGAGTAGGTTTAAGTGGGTGAAGTAGGTGGAGAGTAGGTAGATTTTAACAGCAACAAATCCAGCAGAGATGTGGAGAAGAAATAAAACAAAGTCTTGAGCACAAGGATGAAACCCAAGCGCACTAACAGCAGTCTGAAAGCGATCATACCAAGTATAAGGAGACTGCTTCAGACCATACAAAGCACGCCGAAGGCGGCAAACCTGTCCAGAGGAATGGTGAAGGCCAGGGGGAGGACGCATATAAACCTCCTCGGTGAGATGGCCATTAAGAAAAGCATTTTTTATATCCATCTGATAAAGAGGCCAAGAACGAACAACAACGACAAAGATCAAAGTACGGACAATAGTCATCTTGACAACAGGAGCAAAGGTCTCCTTATAATCAATACCATACTCCTATGAGAAATTTTTGACAATCAGACGAGCTTTGTAGCACTCAAGAGAACCATCATAATGAGTCTTGACTTTGTAGACCCATTTGCAACCAACCAGATTCTTACCAGTAAGCAAAGGAACTAACTCCCAAGTATTAGTTTTTCTGTAAATCAGACAACTCATCCTCCATAACTTAATCCAATGGGGATCCTGACAGGCCTCTTTGTAAGGCTAAGGTTCTTAAAAAGAATGAATAGTAGACAAAAAAGTACGAAATGAAGCAGAAAAACATGTATTAGACCAACCCAACCTGTTTGGAAGATGATGCGCTTGAGTAGGATAGCGGTGTGCAGTAGGATCAGAGTCGTCAGGAGTAGGAGGATCAGTAGTAGGAGTAGAGATAACTGGTGGAGGGAGAGCCTGGCGACACGAATAAACTAACAACGGAGGAGGAGAAGGAGCAGGCTGGGGAGACGGAGGAGAAAAGGGAATAAGGTCATGGGAAACAGTAGAGATGTACTCATCAAAAGGGATCTCGGAAGGAAATGGATCAAGGTCAAACAAATTCTCTTTGGAAACTGGAGCAATGGTAGGAGGAAACTGAAAGTAAGGCAGACGTTCGAGAAAAGAAACATGACGGGAGCCATAAAGACGACGGGAAACAGGGTCGTAACACCGATAGCCTTTTTGAGTGGGACTATAACCCAAAAAGACACAGAGGACAAACCGGACACTAAGTTTGGTCTTATCTTTGCGGCGAAGAAGGACAAAACAGGCAGACCCAAACACACGAAGGAGAGAGTAGTTAGGAAGTTGGGAGAACAAAGCCTCATAAGGAGACCGACCAGAAAGAATGGGAGTAGGCATGCGATTGAGAAGAAAGGCAGCAGTAAGAACTGCCTCCTCCCAGAATGGAGCCAGAACTGAGGCAGAGAGAAGAAGAGACCTAGCTGTCTCAAGGAGATGACGGTGTTTACGCTCAACGCGACCATTTTGGGCAGTTGTATCTGTACAGGAAGTTTGGTGAATGGTACCCAAATTGGCCAAATACTCACAAAACTCAGTTTTAAAATATTCCCCACCCAAGTCAGACCGTAACACTTTAATAGTAGACCCAAACTGTGTAGTAATCATAGACTGAAAGGTACGGTATATCTGATAGAAATCGGACTTATGAGTCATAAGATAAACTCAAGTGTAACGGGTCCAGTCATCAACAAATGACACATAGTATGCAGAACCCCCTTTGGTGAGTACAGGAGAAGGGCCCCAAACATCAGTATGAACTAAAGAAAATGGTATATCAGACATAGAAGTGCTTTTACGAAAAGGTAAGGCTGTCATCTTGGCGAGTTTACACCCCTGACATTTAGTAAGTTCACTAGGAGAAACTTTTCCCAAGATACCTGATTGAGCCAAAGACCGTAAGCGGTCAGCAGATAAATGCCCTAATCTAGAATGCCACAAGTAGAAAGGA